ACTACCTCTTCTTCATCTCCCCCCATTGTAGTATCATCAAAGGCATCATACTGAGCAATAATGTCATCAATGTCTAAATCTTCTCCTTCACCTTCTTCCTTCATGACCCCGCTTTCTCCATGCTTAGTCCAACATATATAGTTTGACATGAAACCTGACTTAAGCAAATATGAATAAAGACTCATTGAGCTTGAATATTCCTTTAAATTCTTACATAGGGCACATGGACAGCACATGAAACCATCCCGCTTATTTGGCTCGGCCACACCTAAGAAATAGTGCACGCCCTCAATAAAGTCTTGGGAGCAGCGATCGGCATTGTACATCCAATGGCGTGACATAATCTGCATTACACGATAAATTATGAAAACCTTGAACATAATTAAGTATTTTATTACACAACATAGATGACACACACACGGTTGATTAATTAACTAAGCCTGGCTACAACGTAAGCAATCCCAACTATCACTAAACAAACTAAAACTACAATGCACTTCAGTAACATAATTATTTCATGACCGTACGCAACTAAAACAGACAAATCATTCGTCTGTTCAATATCAATAAGCTTCTCCTGCCGGCTCACTGCCTCATCATCAGCAGTCGCTACCTCAAGCGCACCCGAATTCTGCACGTATGTAGCATAATCTTCCTCCCAGTATCAACCATCGCATCCATTGCCCTCCCACTGAAATTAAAGCTAAAAAATATTTAGTCAAAAATATTCAAGAAAAGCAGGTCAATTAGCCATAATAATCAAATGCATAAGAAACGCACATCGTGATCTGGACACTTGTAGAAAACACGACCCTTGTTGGGTCCCTGTCTCTTGACTCGGTACTCCATCACAATCTTCTGCTTACACTTGCCGCAGATAATGAGAGGGAGTTCTGGCCTCAGTCGTTTCGCAACCGAACGAGAGGCTGAGGATCCGGTACTAATTGTCATCTACTTTCTATACTTATTTTTGCAAACTAGTGTAAATTTCACATTTTCTAAAATAATATATTTAAACAAACTAAAATTATTTATTTATCTAACTAAACCATGAAATATGTACTATGTATAATAGTAAAATACCAAACTATCAAGTGATTTTACTATTGTAAATCATCATGTGATTTTGAGCTAAAAATAACATAGAAATCATAATCAAATCCACCATATCAAGTTACTTTCTATACTTATTTTTGTAAACTATTGTAAATTTCTCCTTTCTAAAGTAATATATTAAAAAAAATAAAAATATTTATTTATCTAACTAAACCATGAAATGTACTACATATACTAGCAATACTAAACTATCAAGTGATTTTGATGAACTAATTTAACTTTTGTTTATCCAAACATATATGCAAATCATCATGTGATTTTGAGCTAAAAATGACATAAAATCATAATAAAGTCCAACATATAAAGTTACACATGCATCTCCATCGCAAAATGAGATAAGCTACTGATAAAACATAAGAAGATTAAGTTTGTTACCTCCAAAATCGAAGAGCAACACCAATGGAGGGGAAGAGAGCAAGAACAACAGCAAGCTGAAGAACAGAGGCAGTGAGTTTGAATGGAATGGCCCGGGCTCAGGGAGGAAGAAATGAGCTAGTCTATAGGCTGAAATAATTAGTCCCGGTTAGGGGACCAAATCGGGACTAAAGATTAATCTTTATACCCGGGGCATCACCCAAATCGGGACTAAAGATCCTACCCCGCGGACGACCGTTGGATAGGAACATTTAGTCCCGGTTGGTATTACCAACCGGGACTAAAGGAACCGAGGCTAATGCTAAATTAGGACAACGTTCTAAAGTTGGTTCTCTAGTAGTGTGATTAGCAGTAATGACCTCTCATTATGTAAAGAATGCTTCGTTAGATTCACCGGTGTCAGTCACTGACCAACTTTAAGTTCTGATGATCTTCCAGATCTATCTGCAGGTGGGGAAGGACACTGATCGGACGCGTATCCCAAGCAGAAATAAACGAGCCACTTGGAACACGTAAAAGAAACCCGGCGTCGAATCGGTTAGCTGATAACTTTGGACACTGATAAATTTGGACACTGATAACTACCCCTTACCAAAATTAGGCACTGTTTCAGAGAAGTAAACAAATCTCGGCTAGCTGCATGCAGTTCTATATATAAACGGATGTGGATGATACTCCGCCTAGTGCATTTGATTAATCGTTTAAGAGAGATGGTTTGATATGCTCAAAAAAAGAGAGAGAGATGGTTTGACAAAGATTGTGCTTTTTTTGACTGATCCCTTGAGTCCTTATTATTACTTGTACGTCTGTCTCATCGACTGGACTTATTGCACTTGCAGACGCTCTGATGATGCATTTCACAGTGGAATTTGCATTTGACGGTGCAATGACAAGCATTACATATATGTAGCCAAAGAAGTTAGCAACAACCTTCACACTCAGCAATACTAATACATTTTCCAGGAACTGCTTGAGAGACATGGCATGGAAGTCAGATTGCAAGATGGATCAAATCAAGGCGTCCGTCCGTGAGTCTCGGCCACAAACGAACCCCATCGCCGCTAGCACTACACATGGTCAGGATTGTCTCGGCGTTTATTTTCCCTTTTCAGAGAGGGAACATGCATGCTCATCTATCAGCCATCAGGTAAGCAATAATGTTGCACTGCATTGAGAGTGCCTAATTAGCACCATTAGGGATCGGAAAAGCTTTATTTCACCAATGCATGCAACGCGACCTTGCGGACGTAAGGTCGCCGTCGTCTCAACGACGACGATCGCCAGGCCGGCGGCCGGTTAGCTAGCTAGCTAGCTCTCACGCACTGTCATTGTTGGGGGTGCATGCCCGCACGCAGATGCAGCCAAGCAGTGGTGGTGAAGCGTAAGTAGGCCTTCAGACATTCATTAGCTGACTACGTATATTAAAGCTATTGTTTTTTTTTTGACCGCGAGAAGTGGATTTCCGCTATGCAAGAGAAGATGCAGTCACTCGAAAAAAATGGCACATTAGATGTTGTGCGCTTGCTTAAACAAAAGAAGGCCGTTCGTTGCAAATGGATCTTCAAGAGGAGGGTTTCGCTACTGGAAACGCGTGCTTTGCCGAGGGCCAAATCTCAGACACTCGACAAAGACAATCTTTGTCGAGGGCCAGTCACAGGAGCCCTCGGCAAAGAACGGCCCTCGGCAAAGAGGTCTTTGCCGAGGGTCCGGCCCTCGGCAAAGACAGGCCCACGGCAAATCAAATCTTTGCCGAGGGCCGCGGCCCTCGGCAAAGATGCCCTCGGCAAATTAGGCCCGTTGGGTCATGGCGGCCATTCCCGTCAAGCTTTGCCGAGGGCCACCCGTACGGCCCTCGGCAAAGGTTTTTTTTTCTGTGAAACCAGTTTTCGGCAATTTTTTTTTAAAAAAAAATCTTTGCCGAGGGCCCTAGACTAGGCCCTCGACAAAGATTTTTTTGGAACCAGTTTTTTGGCCAATTTTTTTTTTATAAATCGTCTTTGCCGAGGGCCCGAGGCGAGGCCCTCGGCAAAGAAGCCCTTTGCCGAGGGCCTGAGGCGATGCCCTCGGCAAAGATTTTTTTTTTGGTTTTTTTAGCCCAGTTTTTTTGTGGTGCTACAATACATTGTTTTGAACTCAATTTTAAAATTTGGGCCAATTTTGACTTTTTTTGTATATTTCCTTAATTTATTTCGATTCTTTGATTTTTTTCGAATATGTCAAATTTGAACTGTTGGTGCATGGAATATTGCAATGTAGTGTTTCGAAAAATATTATTCATGTTAATTGGTGCATGTGGAGTCCCTATTCACGAACTCGCATCAACTTTCACGCATCTTCTTCGCGTAACATGACGACCGACTTGCCGGAAAAGTGTTTTAAAATTATATAAAATCCATACGAAGTTCGAAAATCACGAAACTTGGTGAGATATCATGTTATCGCATGTGTAGGCTGTGGTAAAAATTGAGAAGGTTTCGAGTGAGTTTCTGACGTCGGATGCCCGAAACCAGACATCTCCACATGTGAAAACTTCAATTTTTTTTAGGCATCGGCGTCACGACTTGCTCAAAAACTTCTCAATTTTTTACCATAGCCTACACATGCGATAACATGACACCTCGACAAGTTTTATGATTTGTATGGATTTTATATAATTTAAAAACACTTTTCCAACAAGTTCCTCGTCATGTTACGTGAAGAAGATGCCCGAAATTTGATGCGAGTTCGTGGATAGGGACTCAACATACATCAAATACCATGAATAACAGTTTTCGAATCACTAAATTGCATTATTCCATCCACCTACAGTTCAAATTTGAAATATTAAAAAAAAAATCAACGAAAAGAAATAAATTAGGGAAATATATAAAAAATCAGATTTTGTCCAAATTTTAAAATTGAGTTTTAAATAATGTATTATAGCACCACAAAAAAACAAGGTTCAAAAAACCAAAAAAAAAATCTTTGCTGAGGGCCTAGCCTGGCCCTCGGCAAAGGGGGTCTTTGCCGAGGGCCATCTGCCAATAACCCTCGGCAAAGAATATTTACAAAAACATAAAAAATATTTGCCGAGGGCCCAGGATCTGGGCCCTCGGCAAAGCGCCCAACCCTAAATCGGCTAGCGGGCTGGCCCAAAATCTCCGCCCACATTTCTTACGCCGCCCCACCACCCCGCGCGGCCCGCCGCCCCAGCACCGCGCCACCCGACCTCCGCGCCACCCCTGCGCGCCGCTCCAGCGCCGCCCCACCGCCCCAGAGCCGCCCCGGGGGTGCGCCCTGCCTCCCCTCCCCATCTCGGTCGAGCAAGGGGAGCTCGGCCGCCCCGGCCGGCCCTCCGGCGGCCCCCCGCGCCGGCAGAGACACCGACCCCGTCCACCGGACAGCCCCGCCCAGCTACCCCAGATCCGTTCGTTCACTGACGACCTTGTTCACCGGCAGCCAACCCCACCCTCCTTTTCGTAGCATCCCCGGCAGCCAACCCCGCCCTCCGTGTCGCCGGCGCCGGCGGGATGGCTTCGTCGGCGGCGTACCCCGACGCGGACGAGAACCTGGAGGCCATCATCACCCGCATTGAGCAGAAGTCCCGAAAGATCGAGACCCTCCTCAAGCAGTATGCCCCCCCCTTCCCTCTCCTCTCGACCCCTCCCCAGCTTTTGATTCGCCTGCTCATTTCTCCGCGGCGTGGGGGCAGGTCGAAGCCGGTGGAGGCCCTGAAGACGGCGCTCGAGGGGTCGCCGCTCAAGACCCGCGACAAGCGATGCAAGGTTCGGTCTTGATATGGCTCGTCTCGTTTCTTCCGTGGGTCCGATCTGGGTTTCTTGGATTGTTCATTCTTGTCGGCTGCGCGCAGTCGGCGAACTGGATCGTGGTGCACCGCACGATGATGGTGATCAGGGACGTCGACGGCATGTTCAACTCCCTGGATCCCGAGTACTACGACATCCTCATGAAGTAAGGGATACCACCTCTCCCCTGCTCCTCCCTTTCCATCACTTGCTTCCCAGATCCAAATTTACTGGTCAGAGAAGGTCAGTGGTTTCCAGAACTAGATATCAATCACTGCATTATAAATTTTGTTGCATTGATCCACGGTGATTGTGTAATGGTATTGCTACAAAACTTTAGTTTTTATGACATCAGTTTTGTGCGGTGGGATGACAGTTGATGATTGAGAACAGTTATGCTGTACCTAACATTGGTGATTTTCATCCTGCCATGCTTGTTATGATTTGTCATTCTGCTGCGGTAGCTGGTTGGGATTTTGGGAAATTTTGTTTTGCCCTTGCAGTCTAGATGTTGCTTAATTGTGTGTTAATTATTGGGAAATTGGATTAGAGAGAACACATAATGGAACCTTTGATTATACCATTACTTTGTGTGGTCAAGAGGATATAACATTTCAATTATTTTATGGGACTGTACAACTTCCAGTAAAAAATGAGTGCATTCTAGAATGCATGCAGTCAGTCTATGTTTGTTTGGATCGACCATATGATTAGTAGTTCAATTTACTTAAAAAAATATTGTAATTCCGTTGACCTAAAATTAATTTAGAATAGGAATTGCTGATCAAGTTAATGCTTTGGACTGGATGACACACTGTTTTATGAAATCTGTTCTATAAACGACAGTGTACTATTGACAAAATGACAATGAGTTGTATGATTCAATACCTGAACAAGCTCGGTTCTATAACCGACAGTGTACTATTGACAAATGACAATGAGTTGTATTACTCAATACCTGAACAAGCTCTGTTCTATAAACGACAGTATTGACAAAATGACAATGAGTTGTATGACTCAATACCTGAACGAGCTTTGGATACTATGGGCTGTCACTTAGATGTGTGCATTTCTTGTTTAATATTGCTCACGCCATGATCGAATGAACATGTATGTATGCTGATCAATATTCCTATGCTTGTCCACTTTATCACGTTTCACGTCATCCTTGATTTCACATTATTGAAGGTTGCTGTGCCGCTCACCTTAGAACTGTGGTAAAATTAAGTTAGCTGTACACCATTTTACTCACATGTATCTCTTTATTTCTGTCTTGGAATTGTTGCCTTCTATGATTCCTTTTATGCTAATATGAAGATTATTAGTCTCTAAATATCAGTGTGATGCAGGTACCTTTATAGAGGTTTATCTACAGGGGATAGGCCAACATGTGATCAGTACCTCAAAATTCATGAAAAACTGACTGAGAAGGCAGGCCTAGGCTGTATATTGCGGTCCCTTGCTGATACTGTAAACACTGTATGAGCTTTGTCTCTGCTGCTGAGGGTGGATATAACAAAGTTCTCTTCTTGCTCTTTACTGTGATAAATCACATCAGGAAAATTAGCTGTAATTGTTAACTAGATGTTTTACATTCTCTCTTTCTTTGACATTAGGCAATTTCAGTTAGAGCATCATTGTACCCTAACTGGAATGGCGGAAATAAATGTGTATTATGTTGGCTTTCAAGTCTTTGTACTTGACGGTTATATTTTTTTTCTAAGTGATTTCTGTACCATCAGAGCTGAATAAATGTCTTTTTGACACCAATTATTACACTTCCAACTTATGGAATGCAAAAAACAAAAAAAACATTCTGCCTCTTTACCGAGGGCAATGACCAAGGCCCTCGGCAAAGAAGGGTCCTTTGCCGAGGGCCGTCCCATTGCCCTCGGCAAAGATTCATTGGAAAAATTCTAGAACATTTCTTTGCCGAGGGCCATGGTTGGAGGCCCTCGGCAAAGACTTTTTAAAAAAAATTAAAATCTTTGCCGAGGGTCTACGGGGAAGCCTTCGGCAAAGATTTTTCAAAAAAAAGAATAATTCTTTGCCGAGGGCCGTCCTATTGTCCTCGGCAAAGATTTTTTGGAAAAATTCTGCAACATTTCTTTGCCGAGGGCCATGGTTAGAGGCCCTCGGCAAAGATTTTTCAAAAAAAAAAGAATAATTCTTTGCCGAGGGCCCCCGGAGGCGGCCCTTGGCAAAGACTCAAATCTAGGCACCGGCGCCCGTGATGGTTGCTTTTCTTTGCCGAGTGCGGTCCAGCCCTCGGCAAAGGCTTTGCCGAGTGCCCCCGATAATGACGGCCCTCGGCAAAGACCCTCTTCGCCGACTCAAAATTCACGGAGAGCTTTTTGCGAGGGCCTCTCGTCAAAGCCTTTGCCGAGGGTTAATGGGCCTTGCCGAGGGCCTCGGGCCCTCGGCAAAGAGGCCAAATCTCCGATAGTGTTATCTCCTAGTGAGCCTCCAAGATTTAAGGCAAGGTTAGTAGTAAAAGCCTTCAGTCAGATTCCCGGTGTTAATTATAATGATGTGTTCTCTCCGGTTGTAAAGCATAATTCAATTCGTACATTTTTCGGTATTGTTGCTATGCGAGATCTTGAGCTTGAGCAGTTAGATGTAAAGACTGTGTTTCTACATGGAGAGTTCAAGGAGGAGATATACATGGACCAGCTCAAATGGTTCATAGTACCTGGTAAGGAGGACCATGTTTGCAAATTAAAAGGTCCTTATATGGTTTGAAATAGTCTCCTCGTAAATGGTATAAAAGGTTTGATTCTTTTGTGATGTCACATGGTTTTAAGAGGTCTAAATTTGATAGCTGTGTGTACGTTAAATTTATTGATGGATCACCTATATACTTGCTGTTATATGTTGATGATATGTTGATTGCTGCCAAGAGCAAAAAAGAAATCACTACGTTGAAGAAACTGTTGAGTAACGAGTTTGAGATGAAGGATCTTGGTGCTGCTAAGAAAATTCTAGGTATAGAGATTACAAGAGACAGAAATTCTGGTTTGTTATTTCTTAGTCAGCAAAGTTACATTAAGAAAGTTCTTCATCATTTCAACATGCATGATGCAAAGTCTGTTAATACTCGTATTGCTTCTCATTTTAAATTATCAGCTTTACAATGTGCTAGTACGGATGAGAATTTTGAGTACATGTCAAGAGTTTCATATTCTAGTGTTGTTGGTTCTTTGATGTATGCCATGGTTTGCTCTCGCCCTAATTTATCATATGCTATGAGTTTGGTTAGTAGATACATGGCTAATCCTGGTAAAGAATATTAGAAGGCTGTTCAGTGGATTTTCAGGTACCTTCGTGGCACAACAAATGCTTGTTTAAAGTTTGGCAGGACTGATAAGGGACTCACTGGCTACGTGGATTCAGATTTTGCTGCCGATTTGGATAAGAGAAGATCTCTCACAGGTTATGTGTTTACTATTGGTGGTTGTGCTGTGAGTTGGAGGGCAACATTGCAGCCCGTTGTTGCCCTGTCTACCACTGAAGCAGAATATATGGCTGTTGCTGAAGCATGTAAAGAATCGGTTTGTTTGCTGAGCTTTGTGGAGATGATTCTTGCATTAATTTATTTTGTGACAGTCAAAGTGCTATATGTCTCATTAAAGATCAGATGTTACATGAGAGAACGAAGCACATTGATGTCAAATACCATTATGTTCGTGATGTTGTCGCGCAAGGTAAGCTGAAGGTATGCAAGATAAGCACGCATGATAATCATGCTGATATGTTGACAAAGTCAGTTCTTGTTGCTAAGTTTAAGCTTTGATCAAGCTTAGTTGGTATAACTGTTGAGTCCAAGAGGCTATTTGGCATCAGAAGTATTTCTTTATTGTTTCAGGGTGAAGGTTTCGTTTTATGCTACAAGAAAGAATTTATCTCAAGGTGGAGTTTGTTGAGTTGTGATCAAAATTCAGTTATATACAAGATAAAGGCTAACTTCTGCCGGAGCGAAGCGAGGCCCGTCGCCGGGAGGCTTGGGCCGAAGCGAAGCGGGCATGGATCGTCGTCTATTAGCGTTTTTCATCTATATATACTTTCTGTAAGCCGTCGTCCTGGGATAAGAAAAGTTGTAAATGCCCTACGTCTGTAACCTCACCCGATATAGTGAAGATTTGCTAGCTGGTGCCCGTGGTTTTACCCTTCTTCCTTGGAAGGGGTTTTCACGTTAAAATCTCATGTCCCCTGTGTTTGATCTACTGTTCTTCGTCGTTTATATTCCCAATCGTTTTTAACAGGGCGGTGGACTAAAATTCTGGAAGGGAAGAAAAAACTCCTCAAAGGCAAGCTTGGGGACTGTTGGAGCACCAAAACCCTCGAAAAGATAGGTTTTTATAATTGGGTGATGGGAATGTGGAACTAGTACTGATGATGAGGCATGAACCATTATGTAGCTCGTTCATTCTCGCTAACGCTGATGATGATGGCGCCATGTTCTATTCTACTACAATACGAGTATACACATCGAGTGACTTGTCTCATCAGCTCTAGCACGTCGACCACGTTATCATGCCTCCTGAGCTCTAGCACCAACACCACGGAGAATGAAGAGCAAGGATGAACCTAAATAAAAAGTTTGAGGACTAAAACAACCACTTTGAACTCCTAAAGTACAACCACTTTGATAGTTCATAGATGGAATTGAACCTAAAAGTAAAATTTGATGACTGAAATTCACTTTGATGATTTAGGCACGAAACTGAGCCCAAAAGTAAACTTTTAGGACTAAAATGACCACTTTGGTTCTTTAGGGACGAAATTAAGCATCTAGGGACAGTCAAGGGACAAGAATAGCTATTCCACCATTTGCAATTAGGAGATGCTAAGAGGTAGAGGTATGAACACCAACCTATGGCAACAAAATAAGTTAGCCTAGGTCAGCTTCTTCATTTTAGTACAAATGGGTGCTATGAGGAGGATAAGCGTGGTAAAAAAAACTAAAAAAGTATGTTGTTTGGCTTCTAGTTTCAGCCTATTTGATCATAAACAACTTATAACTTATATCAAACATGCCCTATATATACTCCGAAAATTCATTTCTAACTACTGAAATTTTGTCCTACATAACTCCTAAGGTATATGTAAAAAAACGTACTAATTCAACTAATAATCGGTGGTTGAGATGAATGAACTAGTTGACTGAGCTTCTTTCTTTGAAAACACGATAGGCTTTGTTTGGATGACGCCCTGGCCTAGGAGTGCTTGGCCATGCATGTCAATAATCCAGCCGGCCACATGAAGTTGAAATTGTTGGAATGGAATGCCTATCTCTAGTTCAGAAAATTGCATTCAGGTTTCAATCCAAACATGTCCTATCCTATGGTACTGGACATGCGACATGCTGAAAAGAGATGAATCTAATTTTTTTTTTTTTGTTGAAAAAAGGTGAATTCGTGCCATCAATTAGACTACTCTAAGTATCATGACATAGTAGCCATTCAATCTAATCCATTTTCTGAAAAGCTACTCAAAAGTTGCAACTATATTTTGAATTAACCACCTCTAACCTATATAATCTAAATTGCCTTAGATTTACATATAAATCACCACATAATCTAAGTAACCTCCTAACATTTTAGCCTATAGTACTGGAGAACGTTAATAGATGTAATTAGTGGTGACTTAATTAGAAGGGCCATTTTTTTTTATTCTCATATATGGACTTGTGTGGATGGGTAGTACCTTGGCTTCTACGCTAACCAAAGAGGGAGCGAATTTTGGACACGTTCAAAAAGAAAAAAGAGGAAGGAGAGAGGAGGGAAATTGATCGGTAAGCGAAGCTGCCTAACATCCCAGGTGCCCAATCCAAGCAGTGGGAGAAGTAGTGGCGGAGCTAAAGTAAATCTGAGAGGGGTATGTTTGTCTTTGTGGGTGTGAGAATTCGTAATATGTGGGTGCATATATGGTGGAAATTTGGGTCTTATCACTGTTTTTCAAATTTTCTGTGGTGTGGCTGCGCCCATAGAGTTCAGTATAGCTCCGCCCACGGGGAGAAGGAAGAGGAAGAAAAAGCGGCTGTCACGGCCACAGACTCACAGTCGAAGCTGCAGCAGTGTTGTTGTGCTGTCGTCTGCTGCGCGCGCGCGCTCACCTGGCCTGCCTCCTCGAAGCAGGACGCATCGACACATACACCTAGCTCATGGTTGCATATATAGTCTATTTTAATTTCCCATGCAGTCGTGTTGCCATGGAAGATACGCTTGTTTAACTAAGCCGATTTATTTGTTGCTGTCGTCCCCGGACGCTGGATTCGTGGAAAATGACGCATTAGTGTAGCTACTATAGCTAGAGACGTCCTGGCAAAAAAAAGATGGAATGAAAAATGAAAGCGAGACGCCGACCAAAAGGCTCCTCCTTATTGCATTGTTATTTAAAAGGTAGCGTGCTTGAGGCATATGCATGCTAGCACCAGTCTCTTAATATAATCCGCTGTTAGGACTAATGGTGCAATGTAATGCCAT